TATAAAATGGAAACTTGACATGACTTTGGTTCACTTACAAACACAGGCCTAAACCATACAATATCCATATGAAACAATAAAAATCAATACAAAAATGATAATAATACAATATACAACAGTAAAAATTAATACAAACCTAATAATTATACAATATAAAACAGTGGATATCTGAAACCAAAAACTTGCTACCAAAATAAAAATGTTTAAAGCTTATCCTAAGTTTGAGCTCACTTATACTTATCTATAGGGAATAGCGAGGGAGAGAAAAAGTCAGAAATGTTTGGGGAAGGAGAGGGAATGCAATAAATAATAAAAAAAAGACACTGGGGGTTTTGCTACAATTTCACCCGTTGCAGTTGTGCAGTGGGTTTGCACATGGAGCCAATGGACTAGTGGTGGGCAAATAAAACCAAGGTCAAGCCCCCTGCATATGAGTTGCATAGGTGCCATGGTTTGTTTGTTTTTAAAGCGCCTGTCTTGTAAACAGGAGATTGTAGGTTCAAATCCCAGGTGTACCTTCAGAGCTCATGTTACCAGCTCAAGTCATGCTGTGAGTTAGCACATGATGCTTTGAGAGTAGTACTGGTCAAGTGAAGCCAAGCTCATGAGTTCAAGCCACACATCATGTATTCAACACAGCAGTGCTGTGGTTCAGCAGGTTAAAGCACCTGCCTTGTAAACAGGAAATCCTGAGTTCATAATCCTAGTGGTACCCAGAGGGCTCATTTTACCAGCTTCAGTCATGCAGTGGGTAGTACATGGTACTTAGGAAGTCGTACTGGGCAAGTGAAACCAAGGCCGTGAGTAAAAGCCTCACCCCTTACATCAGCCTATACACGGCCATGGCTTAGTTGGTTTAAGGGTCTGCCTTGTAAACAGGAGGTCCTGCATTCAAATCCCAGTGGTACTTTGAGGCCTAATTTTACCAGCTTCAGTCGTGCAGTGGGTAGTACATGATATTTATAAAGAATTACTGGGCAAGTGAAGCCAAGCTCTTGAGTTCAAACCACACAGCATACAACTGGCACAGCAGTGCCATGGCTTAGCAGGTTAAAGCACCTGTCTTAACATCTTGAAATCCTGGGTTCAAATCCCAGTGGCACCTTGAGGGTTACTTTTACAAGTTGCAGTCATAAACTGCTTTAGCACGTGTTACTTATGCCTTAGTACTGGGGAAGTAAAGTGTCACCTGGAGCTTTGAAGAAAGAGGTACCATGGCTCAGTTGGTTAAAGCACCTGTCTTGTAAACAGGAAGTCCTGGGTTCAAATCCCAGTGGTACCTTGAGGACTTTTTTCACCAGCTCCTGTCATGCATTGGGTTACCAGCTGGTACTTATAAAGTAGTAGTGGGCAAATAAAAGCAAGGTCTTGAGTTAAAGCCTCACCCTTCTGCAAGGTGCCATAGCTTTTTCAAATCCCAGGTGTACCTTCAGGGCTCATGTTACCACCTCAAGTCATGCCATGGGTTAGCACATGGTACTTAGGAAGTAGTACTGGGCAAGTGAAGCCAAGCTCATAAGTTCAAGCCACACAGCATCAGGTGGGGAGTTTGACTGGGGCGGTACACCTGTCAAACAGTAATGCAGGTGTCCTAAGGTGAGCTCAGGAAGGACAGAAACCTCCCATGGAGCAGAAGGGCTTTATCATGAGCTACTTATAACATAGTACTGGGAGAGTAAAGCATCACCTGAAACATTGAAATAAGAGGTACTATGGATTAGTTGGTTAAAGCACCTGTCTACTAAACAGAAAGTCCTCGGTTCTTATCCCAATGGTACCTAGAGCACTTGTATTACCAGCTTCAGTCATGGAGTGGGTTAGCACATGGTACTTATAAACACAGTACTAAGGAAGTAAAGTGTCACCTGGAGTAGAAGGGTATTATACATCCAGAAACTTGTCTAACATCTCTCTCCCAACTCTAAAGCTGCTCCAATTAAAAAGGTATCACCAAACTAATTTTGCTTCTCAAATTTCTACCACGTGACAAATTTGCAGGCACCACCTCTCAGGAGTGAGAGGAAGTCCTAGAATAATGCTATTAAACTGCTGAAGTAAGTGCTTTTAATTTACAGCTGCAGTCTACCTCCCTTATGTATGAACCATCACAGGACTGGGAGAGCAAAAACTGAACTGTGTGAACTTTTCCTTAAGGAATTCAGTCATATACTTCCATAGACATAGACACTGGGAATGATCCAACATTCTTTGGCCCAGAGTAGGGGCACAGCTCCACCAATGAGGGCAGCCTCAGGGGAAAGGAACTTGCACAAGAACTGACTTCAGGGTACTTTTAGCCATAGCAAATCTTACTTATGGGGACCATATCATTACCAGGCAAAGCTGCAACCTTATTTTTGCATTAATGTTTTTAAAATGTAAATTGCAATTTTACAAATAGTGACATAATACCAGAAAAAAAAAAAAAACACCTTTGCTCTTATGTAATGAATCTGAGAGGCTCATGACCATGTGAGCAAGGTTAAAATCAGTAAGAGTACACTACAAAACATTTCACATTAACTTGTTTACAATTTTAGTTCCATGCTCAGTGGGCATTGTGCAATACATGTGGTGCCAGAAGCAACCAGGGAAGGAGGAGGAAGGGAAAAGAAACTGCTACATGTGTTCCTTATATGGTTTCTACCCTCATGCCACAGGGAGTCTCAAACCCTCCCTTACTTTGAATTAATTTACCAAGAAATCCTTCAGATTTTATGTCCAGAAAAATAGATGTGGGTAACACTTACTGGCCTAATGGTGCCCCTGTGTAGGCTGACAATCAAACAGGTCCTCAGAGAATTCTCTCTGGACATCCAGTGGAACAGCTGTCTGATCATCAGACTGCCCTGGTCTTACCCCAGAGTGAGGCCCTATAGTTACAGTCCCATTCTGGGAGCCTTCCATGTAAGCTGCTGCTTCCTTGCTGCAAAGAATGCCCCATTCTAAAAGATTATGGTGGGGAAATAACCAATTTTGTGCTCAGAGCACTGAAAAGCATGTCATCAAGCAATGCATAGCAGAGCACAAAGTGGAGGCATTGCTGGACTTCAGGTGGCATCCTTTCCCTTTCAGTACAGCTGTTTGATATGACCCCATCACTGCAGCCTGATCCTGTAAGTGCCCAGCTGGTTCAAGTGAGTATTCCAATGGCCACTACTCCTGCTACTCTGGTCCAAAGCATGCTGGAGTGTTGTCTACAGATAATTACCTAAACACAGGTAATTCATCTGACTAGCTAGTTGTGTGACAGAAGCTAATGATGAAGTTGGCAGAGCAGTCCAATACAGGTAGGGACTGTGGTGGCATTCTGCAGATACTCAGGAAGACAGTGGAGGGGTTAAACACAAAACAGGGATATAAACAGCCATCTAAGCCTCCAACCAGTAGAGGCCAGACAAGGAAGCATGTAGGAAGGCTGGAAGACGCAGGACAAGGGAATTGTGGGAAAGCTTTGTAACTCACACATACACTATAAAATTGGCTGCATAGAGAGACAAACAGCAGCTAAAGTAGATACATACCTGGAACATGAGCGCAGCTTTCAGGCTGCAAATGGGTATGGAGCTCATGCGATACTTCTGGCACAGCTGTAAGCATATAATGCACAGCACCTTGCAACATAGATAAACCCATGGAATCCAAACAATGATTTACCCATGTATAAAAGCACCTTTGGAAGCTATAAACAAATGGTTTATTTTAGAATAGATGAAATTTAGCATACCACTAAATGGATTGGCAACTGAGCAACATTATATGGAAACTGCCAAGATAAAATAAGATTTTATAAAAGCTATAGTACTGAAGTGAAATCTGAACAGCGAACAAATTTCTACCAATTAAACAAGGCAGTTAGATTGCTTGAAACGGTCTGGAACTGTGGTGCATATTTATTAACCCATTTTAATGCTAAAATGTGGACATGTTAGAAATGTCAGTTTAACCATTTCAACAACATGTCGTAAGTAATAAAACCTTTCTAGGCTGCTGTTATATTGCAGATCATGTTCTCCAAAAGAGGATTTAAGTGGGCATTATTCTGGTTACTTTAAACAAAATTATTTTGTTCCTATTTTATCTTCTAAACAATCTCTAAAATATAGCTTGGTGCAGCTGTTCATCACAGATTGATTTATCTTGTCCTATTATTTTATTTTCATACAAGGTTATTCACATGTTCTGTTTTGCTTCCCAACTGATCAAAAAATGCACCTGCCTTTGAACTCTACTTCATCATGGTGTCCTGTGACCAGTGGGGTCCCCCAAGGTTCTGTCCTTGAACCCATATTGTTCAACATCTTCATTAATGATGTGGACATTGGACTCAGAAGTGGACTGGCCAAGTTCGCCAATGACACCAAACTCTGGGGCAAAGCATCCACACCAGAAGACAGGCAGGTGATCCCGGCTGACCTGGACAGGCTCAGCAAATGGGCGGACGAGAACCTGATGGTGTTTAACACCAGAAAATGCAAGGTTCTCCACCTTGGGAAGAAAAACTTGCAGCATCCTTATAGGCTTGGCAATGCTACGCTGGCTAGCACTATGGAAGAAAGACTTGGGGGTCATCATTGACCACAAGATGAACATGAGCCTGCAATGCGATGCTACGGCTAGTAAAGCGACGAAAACGCTGGCTTGCATCCATAGATGCTTCTCAAGCAAATCCCAGGACATCATTCTCCCCTTGTACTCGGCCTTGGTGAGGCCGCAGCTGGAGTACTGCATCCAGTTTTGGGCTCCACAATTTAAAAAGGATGGAGAAGCTTGAGAGAGTCCAGAGAAGAGCCACGCGCATGATCAGAGGTCAGGAAAACAGACGACAGGCTGAGAGCCATGGGGCTCTTTGGCCTGGAAAAGCACAGGCTCAGGGGTGATCTGATGGCCACCTATAAGTTTATCAGGGGTGACCACCAGTACCTGGGGGAACATTTGTTCACCAGAGTACCCCAAGGGATGACGAGGTCGAACGGTCATAAACTACTACGAGACTGTTTCAGGCTGGACATGAGGAAGAGTTTCTTTACTGTGCGAGCCCCCAAGGTCTGGAACAGCCTGCCATCAGAGGTGGTTCAAGCACCTACATTGAACACCTTCAAGAGTAAATTGGATGCTTATCTTGCTGGGATCCTATGACCCCAGCGGGCTGGACTCGATGATCTTCTGAGGTCCCTTCCAGCCCTAATGTCTATGAAATCTATGAAAATCTATATACTGAATGAACAGGTAATCACATTAATTACTCCTCACAAAGGCACTGCCCGTAGCAAGAAGGTGATTGGGATATTATAGAGACATCGGTCTGATGCATGTGATCAGTAAACTAAAGTAGCACTAAATGACTAACATTACTGATCTTTGGAGTGTAGGGGAAGCTTATAGCAGATAGTTAAAAGAAGCCCAAAAACATAATACGATTTTTTTTTTAATTATACTGCTTTGCTGGATAAACTGAGTATAGCTTTGCTTCTTAACACGGAGAAATTGAGTGATGAGAAGGCACCTGGAGGAGCCTAAGATATTGCTGGTAAAGCAGTACTCCCCATTCTGTGCTCTGCCTCTGGCTAGGACTACATCCTCCTCAATGCTGGAAGGAATAAGAGGAAACAAAGAGGGAGAAACCAAGACTTCAATTAAAGGGCCTAATTAACTGGAGGGAGGAGGGGGATGGAATGTGGGGTAACAGCCCTGGGTGCCAACTTGAGAAAGGGAAGTGCAGGGATAGTAGCTGCTGCCAGCCAGGCACCACCTGCACAGCCAACCACCCAGCCAGTGCCACTGCCCCATGCGCTACTGTGGCCCAGAGTACGGAACTGGCCAGCTACCCTCTGCTCATTTGTACACAGCCCCTTAATTTCCAGCTACATTTAAATTTAATTCAAGTGCAAGGTAACATCCTTAATTGGCATCAACACTTGACAGATTGGTGCAGCATTTGCAGGCCCTCTATAAAGCATACTTAATTACCACTGTATTCGTGCAGGTGCAGACGATATCAACGCAGCAATGGCCAGAGCTCTTGAAAGAGAGCAGGTATTTCACAAAGATGAACTATTTCTTCCCAGCTTATCCTCCTGCTTTCCTTTGTTATTCTGATGATAAAAGAAAGAGCTCCAAATTAACAAATGTAAATTAATGTGTGTGAAGCATTAAAGGAGATCTAATATGTCAACAATGTTAGGGATAGTTTATTTTAGATATTCCTAGACTAATGAAATATTTTACTTGCTTGTAATAGTTCATCAAACCCTTTTTAACCACAGTCTTTCTAGCTTACAAACATTTTAAAAATTATTTCAGCTTTTATCAAATTGGCTGTTTTTCTTGTTAGATTTTTATGTTCCAGTGTGCTGTAGTACTACAACTGCTGATTACACGGCAACTGAAATTTCAAGTGGGCCTGAAAAGTAATTGGCACAATCTCCAAACTGCCTCATTTTCTACAAAAGGAATTTATAGAGTATTCCTGCTAAGGTTTCTTTTCTTGGAGTTTGGCAATCCTTATGAGATTCCTATTATAAGCCACTATCCTGGATTCACAACTAATTTCAAGTAATTTTACATTTCGCATAAAACTAGTTTCTATTCAATTTTTAAAAAGTCTGTCACTCATACCAACTTAGTGATTTCATTA